CGTGTTTTGTGAGCAAATGCTTTTGCATATTCGTAGTGTTTCCTCCCTTAAATGAAATATCTACTTTGCAAGTATTGCAAGTTGCCCTGTTGTCATCCGTTCTCGAAAAGTATAACCAAACTTTTGAGCGTTTGAGCCTCTTAGGCGCCGTGTTTCCTGCCAGGTAAATGACGCTCCGCAACGTGGTGACGTCATTCGGGGAAACTGGAATCGATAAGGGAATCGTTTGCAAAAATGGCAAACAATTCCAAGGAATTGAAACAGTGGGAACCGGTTCTCAACAAGAACCGGTTTTCGATACCCATCCCTAACCACGAGTCATCATTGTAACTGATGTAACTGATGATGGTGTTCCTGCAACACTATCACAGTATAGATGCTTTGTTTTGAGTATAAATATAGACTATTGGTCCCACCCTTATTATCATATTATTGGACGTAATTACTGCTACGCCTCATCTCACAAACATCCTGTTAGTGACCTCGACTGGACTCTAGAAGATACATTAAAGGTGTTTTTGATGCTGCTGGAGAGCACAACACAAACAAAATTAGGTTGACAAAATTATTGTGACTGTGTGCAATGAACGTTCGGTCTCAATGCCTTTGAAATGTTTGCTTCGAAGGCTGAGACCAGGTCTGCAACCACTCTCAGCCATCTGCAGAGTGACTTTGATGCATCAGGACAGCAATAAAATGGCGAAAAGACATTTCAGTGTGATATAAGTTTGTGACTGAATTGGGTCAAAGTGGCAGTTACAGAGATTAACTGTGATAAATATGTGTAAATTTCAACTCTGTTGCCGTTTCTTGCAAAGCTGCTGTCGTGTACATACACACAAATTCACCTTAAATGCTTTCGTTCAGAATCTCATAGATCTGACATGTTGCGCACAAGTCGTGCCTGTCACTGCAGACGCTTCGGTGCATTAGTAATCTGTCTCTGTTTAAAAACTGGATTAGAGATTATGGTTTGCAGTTTTATACAAACCATCACCAATCTGTCTGTTTGCAGATAGGTTGCCTCCCACCAGGTTGCACTGTGCAGTCGAGTCCAGAGGTTGAGGGTATTGCATGCAACTATTTGCTATCGGTCACTGTTCATAAACTAATTAAATACAGTGACCGGGCAATCACTAAATATTCCTAGTAACGAGGTTGCTTCCCTGATTTTCCTGTGGTGTGACTGAAACATGGACACCAGTGTTATTTAGTACTGGATTTAATTTCTCTGTCTTAAAAATGAGCTTTTCATTCATCTAAATAGTTTTAGTGATTAAACCTTAACAGGAATATTTTGAGGCCAAAAAGACAAACCAGTTGCTTTGCTGCTTCAACATTACCAAATAATTTTGGAGCATTAGACCTCATCAAACGTACCAAAGCAGTGAGTGAAAGTAGAAGTAACCTGTCAGTGAAAAGAGCCTTTTTCTTTGATTAAACATTTCAAATGTTGCAGATGTATGTCTTTGAATTCGGTGGGTTTGGAGCCGAATGCCATGTGCACGGTCTGGAAAGCAGGTCATCACTGGGTTTTGAGCTTTCGATGGGATTTGTTGACAGATAAAATGCACTGTATAAGATGCCAGCAGCCTTCAGCACCACCTTTCTCTAACATTTCCCACATCTGTTATTTTTCTTCATTTTTCTCGCTCTCGCTTTTTCTTTGCCTTCACACCCTAACTGACTCTTTCTCAATCTACCCAGAGAGAGAGAGTTAGAGAAGTTTCTCTCTCTCTCTGGCTCTCTGACTCCTTATGTATTTGTCTTTCTGCGAGGAGGGCAGGCACTGCTTCACAGAGCATGTAAATAGGAGAGTGACTGGGGAAAGATGGCTAATGGCACAGCATGGAAATAAACAGAAGTTTGGGTAAAATGGAATTGGATACCTCACACTGTAGATAGCTGTAGGATAGGACTCAGTGTTCATGTACTAATATGCAGTATTAACTCTGTTTTTGTGTGTATTCCAGTCAGCCTGTGAACATTACAGCGATGTGCTGCCTGTACACTGAAATCCTAAAACTGCCTCAATGATACATTGAAGTTGTTGTGAAGCTCGTGTGCTTTTCTCTCTGCAGGTGGAACGTGGTGGGCATCCAGGGCTCCTTGATGAGCTACTTCACAGAGCCAATCTACTTCTCCAGCATCATCCTGGGCAGCCTTTACCATGCAGACCACCTCTCCAGGGCCATGTACCAGCGCATCGCAGATATCGAAGACCTGCCCCAGCAGTTCACCCTCAACAGGCCTCTTCTCAGCGGTAAGAGCCCTCGCCTTCTTTGATGTAGATGAGGTGGGAAAGTAAGAAAAGTGCATCATCAAGTTTCCTTCTGCAGATCTCTGCTATTATAGATCAGTCATCACGATTTCACGGGTTGAGAGGATCACTGTGTTAATCTTTACCAATCGACCCGCAGCTGTCTAAATATCAAAGAGGAAGATTTTAATCGTAAGCAGTAAACACATTAATTCACCCCGCTGGTCAGTCAGTCCCACAGGAACAGGAAGACAGTTATTGCTTTTCTCCTTTTGTTGGATCTGAGCTGACATTTACCGAGTTCCTGTGGAATTTGAATAGCTTTATCATTTTGTGTAAATTTTCAGCATTGGCTTGACCTTTTAAAAAGGCCATATAGACCAGGACTCCTGGAGTGTTTTCTTCTCTCTCTCTCTTTTCAACTTTCTATTTTTAGATGCAGAGCATGCAGTCTTTGTATTTTGGTTGTTTTTTGTAAGACAATGCTGTGTTTGAGGAAAGATGAGTCTGCTTTCCATTTGCATTTCTGCTCCACTTAATATTCTTTTTCATTTAAAATATTGTATATAAAGCCATTTGCAAGAAGTCATAAATTATTATGTAAATGTTTGGCTCCAGCCCTGCTTATTTACAGTTGCTTTGAAGCTTATAAAGGAGTATTAGGGTCGCATTAAGAAAAAAAAATGTATTGTTAATTTTGAGAAAAAAGGTGGAAATGCGGAGAGTTCCTGCTGCTGCTATACTCTCTACAAAACGCCTTGTGTAGGCGAGTTTTTGTGTTTTTCTGATATAACATACATCCTTTTTATTGCATGAGGGCGTACCTGTCGGTATCCCTGCATTTGTTCATTCCCCGCTGTTTCATTTTGCAGACGTTTGGCCAACTCTTACAAGTTTGTGTGGTTTTTTTCCTTCTGATTCAGCTTTCTGCACCATCTTTTCAACGTCCTTGAACTCATTATCTCGCTCTGTTTATGTGCTAAGAGAGAAATTATTTCCTTGTTACTAAAACTGATTCTAAAGTACGATTTCAATAACTCATCTGCACAAAGCCTTTGGCCGTAGCAGCGTCGTAGAAGCTCCTTCTTCCCACATAAATGCAGTTTCCAGTGACAGCAGTGGGCTCCTTTTGAAACACTGGGTCTTTAATTTCGGACTGAAGTAGACAAAAGACGCACAAACCCCAAAGTTTTTATTTCAGACAGTGAACCACAGTCGCTGCTAACATTGTTACGTAACTCATATAATTTGGCAAATGTGGAGCTGCTATGAGAGCATGACCAGCTTACAGACGATGTTTATTTAGAAGAGACATTTATTGGTTTGAAAAAATAAATCTTTAACTAGATTTCAAAAGTTTAATCCATTCATCGCTCTTTTTCTTGCAATTTTTTATGTGTTTCAGAAAAAAATCCTAAAGTCCAGTTATGGTTATAGAGTTACAGCTATCACAGATTTTGACAGTTGCCAAATGGGTTTAATGAGCAATGAATAATAAACAATAATAGGCAAAGTTTGCACAGTGGCACTCACGGTCCTTTTATCACATTTTATTGTCACCTTTATTTTATCAGGAAGTCCCGCTAAGATCAAAATCTCTTTTACAAGAGAGACCTGGCCATACAAGAATAGAAAAGTGCTACAAATACACAACAAATACACAAAATTAAAATACCCCTAACGTAAAAGAAACATTCACGAGTCTCCTCGCTTTAGGGCATGTTTACTTTATGTCATACTGTAAATTATTATAAGACACATTAGAAGAAATTGTTGCTTTCCCCAGATCTGTCAGAACTATAGGTACATCCAGAAGCAACCATTAAGAAGAGTGTAGCTGGGAGAAAGGTCCTGCTGTAGACTGGAAGTTCTAGAGTGGCTTTATAGAGAAAAATATGCTAAAATATACCAGACGGCCAAACCACAAACCATAAAGAACGTCGTGGTGAGTCAGAGACTTGGCATAATAAAATGTAGGGATGAAGGAGGAAGCATGCATATACAATATATCATCATAATCAATTGCAGGAAAAAAAACACAAGTTAGTAAAGTAAGATTTATTTCTAAAGTAAAAACCAAGCATCACTTTATGATTACTAATGAGATTAGCAACGTATATATTAAAGAGAAACTTGTCCATCCTTCTATCCGGAAATCCTTAAATCCGGTTATTTTGGACAATTCCGGTGCGGAGGCAGCAGTCTAAGCAGAGAGGCCCACACAGTCATCACGTCCACCTCATCTGAGGGGTGGGGCACACCAAGTCGTTCCCAAGTCAACCGAGAGATATAATCTCTCCAGAGTACTGTCACTAAGAGAGAGCCCAGCTACCAAATGAAGGAAATTTCCATTTCAATTCCATTTCCACTGCTGCTATCTGCGACCTCATTTTTTCTGCCAGTACCCAGAGCTCGTGACCACAGGTGAGGGTTGGAACGTAGATCGACCGGTAAATTGTCAGCCTCACTTTCACGCTCAGATCTCTCTTCACCATTACAGATCTGTGCAGATCTTGTCATCCATCCATCCATCCAAATACTTGAGCCACGTACCCTTTCACTGGTTTTGCCATCAGATGTAACAATGTAATAATCATCAAACCCCATTGGGCGAGCTTTGCAGAAGACCATATATTTTGTTTCCTGAACATTTAACTTGAAAGTGTCTCAAAAGCACATCTGCTGTTCCTCTTCATGTACATGTAGCATCATCACAAAGTCCAAAACAGACAGAAGGATTCTGAATACACGTCACAGGTCGCAGATATTTAAAAATATGCTGTCAGCGTCATTCGTCAGTGCTCTGAAACAGCTCGTGGATGATAACCAAACGAAATCAGTCCCTCACAAAATGGATGAAGACACTTTGCTGTGGAAATTGGATTGTCCTGATGAGTTAGATTGTACAGAGAAGCAGAAGTGAAGGAGCAACACCACAAAACAATAAATACATAAAAAATACACATGCAGACCAATAAAACTAGTTCTCATGTGGGAAAGGAGGTAGTGATGCTCTTTAGAGGTGTGGGTGATTATTCTGCCTAACGGTGTTATATTCTGAGTCTGAATTTTTCAAAAATCCATTCGTTCATTTGTAAAGAAACTGAGAGTCATTTTCTGACTTTCCTACTTGAGCTCCATTAAACACGAGCAAGTGTTTAATTAAAAGTTTGACATTTTCAGCTTTGTTGTACTGCTGCTCTGCTTTCCACCTAAACATCCAGCTGGCCGTGCCTCTCTTGCCCAGCTGTGCGCCGATACAAACACGTAAAGCAAAGTTCAAGGTCAAGAAAATACCACACTGCTACAGCACTGCTCACACTGGTCATTGTGCTGCCATGAATATAGGGCGCTCCATATCAAACAAGTGGAATGAGTGGCACTGTGGAGATTTCCTCTACATCCTGGGGGATGACGTGGAGCTTCATATCAAACAGCCGGGATGTACGTTTAGCTCACCCTGCTCCTTCTCTCTAAATGGCAAGTAAAGGAGATAATGGTGGAAGGTTATTAACCTTTTCCGCTTTAGAGAGTTTTTAGCGGTGAAAGTGCTGTGGCGTTAGAGCGCTGAGGATTTCATCCCCTTTAAATCATCTTCTGCCACAAGTGCTGCCAAATGGAACCAAGGAGCTTAATGCACACGCACACACACACACACTCTTACACACACACACACACACACACACTCTTACACACACACACACAGAGGAAGACACAGGGATTTATGGCATCCATATATCTCCCATTTATGCTTGAGATACAGTGGAGGCCAAAGCCCTGAAGTGTGTTAGAAGAGAGCGAGCTCTGTCCTCACAGCCCC